GAAAACTTACCTCATCATGAGAAGAAATCACTGAATATTTGAAAGCAGGGTACGATGTACTATTTCTTGTAAAAATAATGAGGAATATTTACATGCCCTTTATATGTGCCATAGGTTTATAGGTGTTCCAAGCATTTTACTTACATAAGATTATTAAATTTTAAAAGAGCACTATGGTAAAGATATCATTATTTCCATTTTACAAAGGATGAAACTGAAGCAAAACAAAGTTAAGTAACTTGATAATGTTATGTTAATATGTTTCAGAATTTGAAATTGGACTCAGGCAGTCTGCCTTCAGAGTCTTGCTCTTAATCACTATTTGTTCTGATTTCCATTGTTAAGGATCTCTGAAATATGGGAAACAGGTTGTCTGGACAAGAGTCTAAGCAATGAGAGACCAGCGAGGAGAGAGGTGACAGTGAATTGAGCCATGGTGGTTGTGATGGAGGAGAGGAATAGTGTTCCTAGATTCAAGATGCAGTTTAAATACATTGGAAGTAGAAGGTTTGTGAATGGATTGCACACAAGCAATGAAGGAAAGAGTGGAAACAATGATAACTCCAAAGTTTTGACCTTGCCACTGGTTAAAAGACAGTGTTTCTGAAAGGACATTCGCAGAGTCCACGCAAAGTCCAAGGACCACGCCACACACTGGAGCATCACTCAAGAGATTTATTGTCAGTCACAGGAGGCATACCGAAAAGGCTGTCCCTCCAAGGAGAGCAGTGGCCTGTCCGCACTCACAGAGCAGCTTTATAGCCTGCAAGAGGAATCTCATAAGCTGTTTAGGAGTTTAAGCTGGGGTGGGGCTGATAGCAGGCATGTGTTCTTTGGGAAGTTAAGCAGCTTTGCCTCAGAATCAAAACTTTGGAACCTCTAGATAAAATGACTCCCGACCTAAAATGGTGAATCTGATGCCAGTATTGATTTGATGCCAATAGTTTCTTGCAGAATCTGTGCAAATGGAAAGGAGATTGCTTGGTGAGGGATAAAAAAGAAAGAACTTGATTTTTGCCCAGTATGGTAGCACACACCTATAATCCCAGAGGCTCAGGAGGCTGAGGCAGGAGGATGGTTAGTTCAAAGCCAGCCTCAGCAACTTAGTGAGGCCCTACACAACTTAGCCAGATCCTGTCTCTAAATTAAAATATAAAACAGGACTGTGGATGTGGCTCAGTGTTCAAGGGATCCTGGGTTCAATCCCCAACCAACCAACAAAAAACCTTGATTTTGAGCATGTAAACTTCAGTATGTACACAAATCATCAATAAGGGTAATGAAGCTGGAT